ACCCAGGGACTCCTCTGGCCCCCAGGGACACCTGTCGTCCCCAGGGACACCCCTAGACCCAGAGACACTCCCGGTCCCCAGACACACCCCCAGCCCCCAGGGACACCCCCAGCCTCCAAGGACACCCCTGGGACCCAGAGACACCCCCAGACCCCAAGGTTACCCCCAGCGACACCTCCAGCCCCCAGGGACACCCCTGGTTCCCAGACACACCTCCAGCCCCCAATGATACCCCCAGTCCCCAGGGGCACCCTCAGCCCCACCTGGGTCCTGTTATCGCCCCCCCCGCCCTGTGCCTGCAGCCCTCCTCCCCGGGCTCCCTTCCGCCCACGGGGCTCGCTCCCCCGTGGGGTCCCCACGGCCCCGTGGCGGGGGGATCCCCGCACCTGGCCGACTCCTGCTTGTAGATGTCGATGATGTTCTCCACCAGCAGGTTCCGCTGCAGCCCGTACACCCCGTGCCGGTCCAGCACCACCTCATGGCGGCACGACGGGCACCGGAACCGGCCCCCCGACGGCACCGCGCTGGAGCCCCGCGACTGCCACAGCGGGTTGGAGGCCTGCGGCGGGGGGGGGAGGCGGTGGGTCACGGCCGAGGTACCCCCGAAGCCCCCCGACCCAGGATCTGCCGCCGGGAGCGAGACCCCGCGGGGCCCGGCCCCCCCTCCCCCGGCCTGGGTGTCCTGCATCGGGACACGGATACGGACACGGACACGGGTACCGACACGGGCCGTCTCCGAGAGCGGCTCGTCCCGGGGCCCCGGCAGCTCATCCCGGATCCAGCCCCCCGCCCCCGGCGCCGGGAGGTCCGGTGCGGGCGCACCTGGAAGACGTCGTTGGCGCATTTGCGGCAGAGGTTGTGCTGGCAGGGCAGGATGACCACGGGCTTGGTGAACATCTCCAGGCAGATGGGGCAGATGAGCTGCTTCTCCAGGCTCTCCATGCTCCGCGCCTCCGCCAGCAGCGGCTTCAGTCCCACCGCGAAGTTCATCGCCGCGGTCCCGGCCCGGCCCGGCCCGGCTCTGCCCACCGCGGCCCCACTCCGGCTCCGGCCCCGGCTGCCCGGTGCCCGGCTCTGCCCTGGCCCCAGCCCCGGCCCCGGCTGAGCACGGCGCTAATTTTAGCCGCCCCCGCCCCGCCGGGGCCGTCGCAGCTGTCGGCGGCGTCGGGTGACACTGAGTCACGGCGGGGCCCCACCGGGACCGACCGACCCCCGGGACCCGCAGCCCGGGGCAGCGGGGACTGCGCCATGCGCCCTCCGCCCCGGGCAGCCCTCCCCATCCCACCCCAGCCCTGAGCCCTCGGCCTGGGCAGACCCCCAGGGACGAGCAGCGCTGCTTGCCCACCGCCTCCTGCCTGGGAAGCGCGAGGGGCTGGGGGGTCCCGCCAGACCCCGGGGGCTGGGGCAGGCTGGCGTGGGGTCCCCGGAGCCGCACCTGGGGAGGGCAGAGCTGCTGGGCTGCGGGTGGGAGGTGGGTGCCCTCCCCTGCAGGCAGAGGGGCTGGGTGCAGGCTGGGGTCCCCCAGGCTCCACAGACCCTGTCCAGCGCCAGCCCCCCCCGGACAGCAGCATGGAAGGGCGCCCGAGAAGGCTGGTGCCAGGAACACCCCGGTCCCACTGCTTGCCCTGACTCTCCAGCTATATTTAGGGGGTGAGACAGAGCCTGTGCACCTGCGGGCAGAGGCTGCTGCCTGGGGGTGTGGGAGGGAAGGGCGAAGGGCTCCCTGCGTCCCCCCTTTGCCCCTCTCCCCTCTGGGATGGGGCAGCACAGTCCAGGGCTGGCCCTCGGCAGGGCCACAGCTCCCAAGAGCAGGGCAGGAGCAGGGGTGTGGGGCAGGACCCACGCACTGAGCTGCCAGCTGGCACGGGCTGTGGGAAGAGCTGCAGGGCCAGGGGAGCTGCTCCTGCCCAGGGTGGCCGTCTCCCCCCGAGACTGCAGGGAGATGGGGACGGTGCTGCACAGCACATCAGCAGTGGGGGGAACGGGGACAGTCCCTGCAGACACCCCAGTGGGACCAGGATGCTGCTGCCCTACGCAGCGCAGCTGTGAGGAGGGGGAAAAGCGCAGCCCCCTGGTAGGGGGACACAGAGCTGTTGCAGGAAGGTGACAGGGCACAGGGTGACGCTGTTCCCCCTATGTGGGAAAGCACCCCCTAAAGCCACACCAGGGGTACGACCTGCCCACTCCACACGCCGCTCAGCCCACCACCCCCATGGGACCCACGGCCACAGCCCCCCCAGCACAGGGCAGGGCCAGGCAGGGGCACATCCCGCTGCAGCGTGTTCAGGCAGCCCCTGACAGGAGACCACATCAGAACGCGCTCCCCTCCTGTCGTCCTTTAATGGTGCCCATAAAACCTATACAAACCCAAGGAAAGTGCCTGTACTGGGCCCAGCCCTGCAGGGAGCCTGCCAGCAGCAGCGAGCGTGGGGTGCAGCCAGTGCCCCGGAGCCACGGCAGGGCAGAGAGGAAGGGGGTACAGAAGGTGGCACCCCAACCCCACGAGCAGCGTTTGGCACCCAGCACCCATCAGGAGGGTCCCCATGAGGGCAGGTAGCGGGCTCAGCCCGGCCCCAGAGGTTACAGTGCTAATGGTCTCGGACAAGCTCAACTACCTCTCGTAAGCTACAGAGCCTAGCCCGGAGAGGTCTCTGCTCGCGGCTGCTCGGGCCGGCTGCTGGTGCCCGGGGGGGGGCACAGCAGCAGGCGAGGCACTGGGGATGGGGTGCAGCAGCGTGGACTCCAGGCCACCACCAGTGCTGGGAGATGGGCGCTGCCCTGGAGCTCGAGCAGGGGCAGAAGAGCCTCTGCGCTGATGCTGGCCAAATTAACCTGAGATTCTAGCCACCCTGAGGTTGAAGAGCCACCCCAGGTGGCGTGACCGGGGTCCCGGAAAGTGACAGTCCCAAAGGAGGATCCGTGCCCCGCGTCCTCGGAGAGCCGGCGGGACTGAGGTCAGCCTCAGGCATCGGTCCTGGTGCTGACAGCCGGCAAGGGCTCTGTCCTGGCAGGCAGGGGCTGCGCCGCAACAGGTATCTGCGGATCTGGAAAAGAAGAGCTGCAGATCAGCGCCTCAGCCCTGTCCCATCGCGCCGGCGAGCAGCTATCTGGAACATTCCAGCACCCCCATGAAGGCTCCCGCAGAGCAAGGCTCCCAAAGCTCTAGCCAGCGCACAGCCACGCAGCAGTGCCGCACGGAAACCTGCAAAAATCACCCAGTGGCAGTCCTCGTAGTCACAGAGCGACCAGCGGCCAGGGAACGCAGCCAGCCTGGAGCACGGCTGCTCTCCCCACGCTCTGTGCCCCGGGGGGAACGGGCAGGGCTGTACAGGGGCTCCAGGGAGCCCTTGCTCAGGGGCAGACGGGGAGGGAGAAGGCATCCCCCTGCCCTGTGCAGTGGTTCCCGCTGTCACCGTCACCAGCCCTGCTCCGGGCAGGAAACACCGCAGGCTGGCTGCTGAGCAAGAGCCGCAGCGACGCCCGAGCGGAGCTTCCAGCCAGAGCTCCATCCCCCGCGTAAGGTGAGACGCGGGGAGCTCCCCGTGAGCCCCACGCAAGACAGAGCCGGGCGCTCTCAGCCGCTGGGGCCTGTGGCAGACGGACGGCCCGACTCACCGCCGTCCTCCACGTGCATCTGTGCCTCCAGGTCCTTGGGGTCGACGTACTTGTAGGACTCGTCCTCCTTCGGCGGGCAGCACGTCCCGCAGCAGAAGAAGCAGCAGCAGCAGCAGCAGCAGCAGGTGAGAGCGCCGCAGCAGAGAGCCAGGGCCTGCGGAGAGGGGGCGGCAGCGGCGGTGAGACCCCCCCGAGCGGCGCCGGCAGCCGCTCCCGCGGCGGGACGGGGCTCACCTGGAACCACCACTTGGACATGAGGAAGTAATGCTTGACCGCATCGTCGCCGAACTGCTCGGCCACGTAGAGGCCGAGGGAGCCGTACTGGTCGTAGAGGCGGCGCTTGTCCTCGTCGCTCAGCGTGGCGTGGGCGCTGTTGATCTCCTTGAAGCGCTCGGCCGCCGCCGGGTCATCGGGGTTCTTGTCCGGGTGGTATTTCAGCGCCAGCTTCCTGCGGGGCACGGGGGGGGGTCCCGCACGCTGCTGGGGTCCCGTCCCCCCCCCCCGCAGCGCCCACGATCCGCCCCCCCCCCCCCCCGCCCTGCGGCCGCGCTCCCCCCGGGGGGTCCCCGCGCCGCGCCCGGCCCCCCCCCCCCCCCGCACCGGCCCCCATCCCCCGTACCGGCCCCCCCCCGTACCGGCCCCCCCCCCCGCACCGGCCCCCCCCCCCCCGTACCGGTACGCCTTCTTGATCTCCTCGGGGGAGCTGCCCTTCTGCAGGCCCAGGACGCGGTAGAGGCTCTCGCCGACCCGGGAGAGCTTCCGCTGCGGCCGCCCGGGCTCCGCCATCGCGCCCCGCGGAGGGGCCCGGAGCGGCACCGGAGCGGAGCGGAGGGGGACGGCGGCACCGACCGCCCCGGCCCGGCCCTGCCCCGCGCCCGCCGCCGCTTCCGCCCGCGCCCGCCGCCGCTCTGCGCAGGCGCCGGGTCCCGCGGCCCCGGGCGGCCCGGCCCGCCCCGGTGCACGGCCCGGCCCCCCCGGGACGCGGTGGGAGCCCCGGTGCACGGCCCGGCCCCCCCGGGACGCGGTGGGAGCCCCGGTGCACGGCCCGGCCCCCCCGGGACGCGGTGGGAGCCCCGGTGCACGGCCCGGCCCCCCCAGGACGCGGTGGGAGCCCCGGTGCACGGCCCGGCCCCCCCGGGACGCGGTGGGAGCCCCGGTGCACGGCCCGGCCCCCCCGGGACGCGGTGACACCCTGTCACAGCCCGGAAGCCCCGGTACTCACTGACACCCCCCCCGCACGGTGACACTCCCGCCGCACACCCCGGCACCCCCGGTTTGCGGTGACACCCCTATCTCCCCCCCCCCCGTACACAGTGACACCTTTACACCCCCCCCCCCCCCCATTGTGACACCCCGCGGAGGGGGCAGGAGGCGGCAGCCCAGAGTGGGGGGGGTCACGCTGCACCTTTATTGGGGTACAAAACGAAGGCAGCCGGGGCAGCGGGGAGCACCCTGACGCTGGGGGGGGGGGGGGGGCAGCGGAGCGTCTTCAGGCAGCAAAGGTGGGGGGAGCCCCAGGACCCCAGCCCCTGCGCCAGAGCTGATCCCGCGCCCGCTGCTGCCCTTACAAAGAACCTGAGCAACAAGGGCGGCCGGGGCTGGGCAGAGCACGGCCGCCCCCACGCCCCCCCGCCCCGGGGCACCGGGAGCCGGTCGGTCCCCAGGGATGGCCCCGGCTGCCCAGGGGCCGAGACGCTACCGGGAGAGCGTCTGAATATCAAACCGTCCCGCCGGCACGGGGCCGAGGGCAGCCCCGGCCCTCCCGGGGCCACCGGCCGGGCCAGCCAGGGACGGGAAGGCAATGGAGTGTCAGATCGGTGGGGACAAGGTGGTTCCTTGAGGAGATCCCCAATCCCTGATGTTTTTCAAGTAGCTAGCCTGCCCTGCAGGAGAGCCAGGGGGGCAGCTGCTCAAATAAATACAAATAAATACAGATTCCAGCAAGGGAGCCTGCTCAGCACCCAGCCAGGACCCAGAGGAAGCCTCGAGGGGGACCAGACCCCATCCCCGCTTCATCCCAGGGAAGGGGGTGACTGGCCCCTCAGCCACAGGCTGCGGAGCCCACCTCTCCCTCCCGGGGGCACGGCCGGCCTGGGGTGCAGAGGGAGGTCTCGGGAGGCGAGGAACGGCCCCCCTCTCCCCGGCAGCCGCAGGAGACGCCGTCTGTCTTCTCCCTCGGTGGAGGAAGATCGGCCCCGCCACGGCCGCCCCTGGGGGGGGTGGAAGGAGAGGCGGCAGCGAGGGTCCCGAGCGCCGGGGGGGTGGGTGCAGGCTGGCAGCTCGGAGCCCCTCCTGGGGGCACAGGCGGGGGGGGGCCGGCCCTGCAGCCAGCCTGGCTGGTGGCCCCGTGGCCAGCCAGCAGCTCAGCAGTCCATGCCGTCATTCTCACACCAGGCAGAGGGGCCGTCAGTGCCAAAGTACCTGTCCCCAAAGTTACCTGAAGGAGGAGGGGACAGAGTGAGGGGATGGCAGCACCAGCCCCACCGCAATCTCCCCCCCCTCAAGGACCCCTCAGCGTGGCCATGGGTCACCCCCCAGGCTGCCGGGGCGAGGGGCCCCGGAGGCGCAGCACGCCCCCGCCTGCCCTCACCGATGCCCGGGATGATGTGGAACTCCTCGTTGATCCTCTTGTCCACGGCGGTGGTGATGATGCGGACGCGGGGGAAGGCGTAGGCCACGGAGTGCACCCCCATCTCCGCCATCAGCAGCGACAGCAGGAAGATCCTGTCCTCCTGCACGTCGTGGTCCTGCAGCACGCAGAGCCGTGAGAGCCCGCCCGGCGCCAGGAGGGCCGCGCACCCCCCGGCCCCCCGACCCTGCCACCCCCGGCCCCTCACCAGCAGCACCCGCACTGCCATCATGGCCGCGGCCCCCGTGGACACGGTGCTGTCCATGAGGATGACGTAGTCCTCGCTGATCTCCTTGGGAAGGCGCAGGTAGTGGAGCTGGGGAGGGAAGGAGAGGTGGGCACCCAGCTGGCCGTGCCGGGGGGCTGTGCGCCGGGGCGGCGGGGGCCGCTCACCTCGGGCTCCCCCGTGTCGTGGTTGGTCTGGATCAGGATCTTGCCCAGACGGATGTCCTTGCACACAGCCGTAAGCGCCTGCTCCATGGTCTCCCCGGCCCGCAGGATGGACACGCCGGTGATCTGGGGGAGGGACAAGAACACGTTCGCCTGGCGCCGTGCAGGGGAAGGGGCCGCGCCGGAGGCTCCTGCGCCACGGGAGAGGGGAACAAGCCCCACCGAGCAGCTCGTCTCCACAGGGACGGACCCCGGGAGCCACATTTCCCCAGTCCACGCCAACCTGAGCCAGGGCAGCCACGTGCTCACGGGGAGAAAGGGGCCAGGACGACATCTCACCCTCTGCCTGTGGAACCGCTTGCCTTCATACGTCGTCCCCTGGGGCGTCTCCACCGTGACCGACTGCAGAAAGGGAGGGAGAAGGGAGCGTGGACAGAGCCGGGCCCCTGGGTGGCCCGGGGGCTCGGGGGGCAGAGGATGGCTGCAGCGGCACCCGAGGAGCGGCCGCTCACCTTGAGTGGCAGGAAGGAGAGGGCATGTTCGATCAACAGCCTCATCAGGCGCTTGGAGTAAAAGATGAATTCGTCCCTGGTCGTGTCCTTGTTCCTGTTGAGGGAGGTCACCCATGTGAGAGGGGAGCAGAGTCCCTGTCCACCCCGCAGGCGGCAAGCAGGGCTCCAGAGAAAGGCTGGCATGAAGAGAGCGCAGGCCGTGGGAACCTGGAACCTACAGTAAGTAACCACTGATGTTTCAGGGCTTGCTGAAGACCTTAGGGCGCCATCTAGAAAGGACCACAAAGTCAAGAAACACGTTCAGTTCCCCTGGAAGTGGGATATAAAGCCTGCAGCAGACCACGCAGATCGGATAAAGTGGAAGGATGACACGCGTCCTCTCCAGGACACAGGGGACAGTTCAGAGCTGACTGCGCGGTGGGCTACCTAGACTAGCAAAGTGAATAAAGCCAACAGCAAAAAGGAGGGATAAGTGAGTACAGCAGCAGCAGCCTGGCGCAGATGTACAGAGATGAGGCAGGTGCCTGAGAAGCAAGCATGGAGCCACGGCATTACTCAATCCGAGCACGACCTCTAATCGCTGCTGAATCTCTGCTGAGGATTTGCAGAGCTGGAGATTTAGGACGTAACTGCTGACTGCGTGGAAAGAGCCAGGAGAAAAACAGGAGGCGGGAGCAGCGGAACGTCAGGCAGCACCACCGGTTCGCGGGGCAACAGAAACTCGGGAGCAAGCGGGAAGCGTTTTGCACGGGCCCTACCAGGGGAGCACAAGGCGGAATGTCAGCACGCCCAGGGCGGGCCGGGGCACGGCAGGACAGCGCCGGGAGCAGCCCAGGGTGGGAGAGAGCAGACCACACCGCAGCCAGGAGCTGCTCCTTCTGGTAACGGGAAAACGTCCGACACGTTCCCAGCTCTCCGTTCATGTACGGAGATAAGCTGCTGCCAGGAACCAGGGAGACTTTGAAATACCTGGTGTTATCTCATCACAACACTGAAGTGCTGAGGGCAGCAAGAAATAAAATAAATAGAAAACACAGCAAAACCACAATGGGATTGTAATTCACAGGAAATCTCCCCTTCTCCCTCAGGAGGAGCAAAGCCAACTGTACGTGCGCTAGTCCCAGTGCCAGGGGCAGAGGGGGAAACTGGGACACATACGTGTTGTGCTCTAGCTCGTTCATCACACAAAAGAAAACGGCTGCACAAAACCTCGCGTTTCCTGCAACGGACGGTTCTCAAAGCACAGTAACATGAGCACGTACAGCACTTCATGACAGGCACAACGGTCCCTGTCCCATGTCACTTAGAGGGTATTTTCAGGTGAGCAGGACAGCTCCTCCACCAGCACTGTCAGTGTCAGGAGCCTGGAGGCAAAGTACCTACAGCAAGAAGTCACTCGGCAGGAAAAGGAGGAGAGTCAGAGATTTGCTTGTCATTTAAAACACGACCCTAAAGATCCCACTGATGTCCATCTATACTTGTTGTAATCTGTGGGTGCTTTGGCAAAAGCGTAAATAGCAGGTTGCAATGTAAGTGCCACTTTAATGAGAACTGCCAAGAACAAGGTTCTGGCTCCCTGGCTGAACAATCACCGAGAGGCAGACTGACACCAAAGGACTGTGGTTAACAAAATGCAGCTGAAATCTGTTTTCTCTTCTGTGACCTCTGTCTAAAGCAGTGTAGCCTGCGCCTACCCCCGGTATTTTCTGGAGAACGTAAGGAACAAAGAAACCCTACAGACATTTGCCAGTTTCCAGATGGAAGAGGTGGAACTGGCAACAGTCCAGAAGAGGCAGAAGGATACTGAATATTTTTACTCTGTATTTTAAGACATCATCTGCCACTTCTCACATCTCACCACGATGACAGACAGCCCAGCCAACAGTGCTCAGGAGAAGGATAAACAGTCGCTACTACCCTGAGATAATTTTGCAGCCAGACCTGGGCAGGTCGCACCCGAGAGCTCTGCAGTGACCAGAAAACCTGACCAACGTGGACATTCCCAACAAGCCTGGGGACAGCAGGGGACTCCCAGAGAAGTTGGAAAATCAGTTCTGGCCTGGAAGAAACAGGTGCCCTGCCTACAGCTCTTTGGCGTGGGCTGTCAGCACGCGCGCAGGGCCCACGGGCGGGCTTCACCCACACACTCACCCACGGCAGCTCTGGGGGCCCCCGGCACCCCCAGAGCTCTGGGCACGCAGCCCGGCAGCGGCCCTGCCTCGGTGGGCAGCCTCTCCCAGCCGGCTGCCCCGATAAGCCCCGCACCGTCCACGTCGCCGTTCTGCCACGGACGGGCAGTCGTCCGCCCCAGCCAGCCCCTGACCTGGGTGGGACAGGTCCCTCAGCGGCGGGGCAGCCGAACCACGGGCACCCCCGCAAGCTGGGAGCCCACAGCTGGGCACGGCAGCCAGCGGCTCCCGGCGACCCCCACCTTCCCAGGCACTCTCAGCAGGAGATGGGCAGGAAAGCACCGGGCAGCCTGACAGGGACCAGCAAGCCTCTGGCTGGGAGCCTGAACACGGGGTCGGGCTCAGCTCCCCCGCAGGAGTGTCTGCAGCTGAAAGCCACCCATCGCATTCAGGCACCCGCGGAACTGGAGCACGCACGGGGCTCATGTCTGAACCACCCTCTCCGGCACCGGCAGCTTCCCGGCACGCAGGGAGCGCCTCGCTCTGCCCCCCACCCAAGCACCGGCAGCCACGCGCTTCCCAAGGGCGGCTCCAGCGCAGGACAACGTGTCCTGCCAGAGCGCAAAGTCCAAAGGCCCAGGCCAGAGCAAACTGCGAAGAGAGGCGGGTGACCCACGCCACCCACAGGCCGTGCCGCAGGGGACGTGCCGGGGCCCCTCCACGAGCGCGGGGTACCAGGATGCAAGCCGTGGAAAGGAAATGCTGCTCTCCTGCGGCAGAGAGAGCCCCAGATGCTTCAGGGCTGCTGGGGGCAGGCAGGACTGTTCAGGCGCTGCCGAGTCCTGACGGGTGGCACGAAACGCTCCCGTTGACTCTGGCAATCTGGACCCAACACCGAAGCGTCTTCTAAGTTGGAAAACGTAACCCTCACTCTTATTACACTGTCCATCTTCAGTCTGATCACGAGCAGAATCATTCAGCTACTCTAGTGCAGGACAGTTTTTCAGTTTCCGCCTCTCCACAATAGCAGAAAATCACTCTGGAAACCACTTCTCCCTGGGATGCCAAGCCTGGATTTGCCATGACTATACTCAGCGAGATGTTCATCTGCTGCCACAAAATAATCTTCCAGGATGGCCGTCAGAGACAGAAGGCTGAGGTACAGAAGAGCCTCCAATATTGAACAACAGGGAAACGACGTTGGCCGGCAGCAGCCTGGCAAGCTGAGATCAACAGGCTGGCTGTCTCCGAGGGAGCTGCACTGGGAAAGGCAGGATGGGAAGAGGGCAGCTGGAGGGAAATCCTGGTTCACAGCTCTCGGGTGCACCCCGAAATGCCAGGTTTGGTGTGCCAAGGCACGCCATAAGGCAGTACCAGTGGGACCACCAGCACTCCACACGTTACCACTGCAGAACGGGGCTGATGGCACCGCGGCAGCCGGAGTGAAGCTGGGAGATCAGACTTACCAAGACACAGTAATTTCATGCACAAAGGTGCAGGAAGCTTGGCAAAAGGCATGCATTCGATACCCCAGCAGTCTGGACCTCTCCAGGCAGCCCAGGGGAGCACCAGCAGGCAGGGAGCAGTGCCTCTGGAGCAGAGGGAAGCCCAGAGGCTCACACACGACCACCATTAACAGTTCCACACCGTGCTGAAGTCACACAGAAGCAAATGAGCGCTGCCAAGTATCACCTACAAGCGCCATAAATACAAGCTGCCTTGCAGTCACCAAATACAGGAACTTTTCACCAGAACAGTTCTGCAGCTTAGAGATCTTAGTAACAGCACTGTCTCAGCTTTCCTTGCTTTCTTGGGCTGCAGCAGGATTTGAGGGGGTGGCTGACAGGCCAAGTCAACGCCCCTCATAAATGTGGTATTTTTCATTTACCATCTGGAAGAGGCAAAGTCCGCCTTCCCGCAGCCCTGCCGCTCACTCCGGCCGGCTCCAGAAGCACGGTAACTCGAGATCAGCGGTGCTGCTGGACTCCAACCACAGCCTGCATGGGTTTGATCCCCTCCCTCCCCCAGGCAGCTGAACAAACTCCTAACTCTAAGCAGATTAAGGTTATTAGACGCTTGTGGCATAAAGGCAGAGGCACAAGCAGCCGTTCCTGGGAAGCCAAAAGGATGCAGACTTCAAGGAGGAAGATGGGAACGGGAGCTAGAGATGAGAGAGGATTCAGCACCTGCCCACAGTGCTGTCCCTTCTGGACAAGGGCTGCTCAAACCCAGCCCTTGGCACTAGCCAGGGGCCCCCACTAGCCCAGGCTCATGTTCATCTGAGAGCAGCACACACCGGTGTCCTGCTGCTGGCTCTCCCGAGAGAAGAGGAGGAGCTGTAGGTACAAGGTCAGTGCCAGAGCCTGTGAACAGGAATGCCAGAGGTGGGGTGGGCTGCTGCACAAAGACTTGCATTCTTCTCTCCCCGCATAACCCCAGGAAAAGGGAAGACTGCTCCTTTGCAAGCAAACACTCAGCCTCTGGAGGTGCTGCTCCCCCAGGAATTCCCTCAGAGTGCACAGACAGCCGATGAGCTAGAGAAATTGGCTCAGGCCATGAGGAAGCCACTGCCAGAGCACTGGAGAAACACGATGCTGGAGGGGCAAGGTGATACCTGCTCTAAAGTTCCCTTAGCTGGACCTGAACTCAGAACTACTAGGGGTGAGGTACGTGGGCCTCAGACACTGGCACAGGACTCTGCCCAGTGCACCAGCGGTGCTACATCACCCAGCGAGGTGCATCACCTGGCTTTTTACTGCTGTAGACTGCCTTTGGGGTCTACACTTCAACAGGGAGGAGACACGGAGGAGCCTGGAGAAGGAACACCTTGCTTCCTACAAGGAGTGCACAGCCTGCGTGTGGTCGTGAGGTTACATTCTCCAAACCAACACATGGGTGCTGGTAGCCAGCCACCGTGTAAGCAGGCACAGGAGAAGAGCCCTGCTGAGCTCAGCATCCCCTTTCTGTTTTACAACCCAGTGACACAAATGCACGCAGAGGCTGCAAGCTTCTGCAGTAACAAGGAACATCTCAGTGGTCCCACAGGATTCAGCTCTTGGCCCTACACTAACACTACTGTAACCTGGAAAAAAGGAGCATCGGCGGGAAATGAAAAGATCAAGTGAGCTGCAAAGATATGGAAGCAGCAGCCAGGGTCCCTTCCATCAACTGGCTCTAAAACCAAGTGTCTCAAGAGAAGGGCACCCCACCCCATCCCACCGGATACTCTGCCTGTGCTCCAGCTAGGAAAGAGCTAACCAGTCTCCTCTCATCAGAAGAAAAGCCCGCCTGTGGCTCAAAAGTCACCCCAGGGCAGATGTGCCAAGGTCTTGTTGGCAAAAAAGTCTGTAGGCCACAACCAGCTCTGTCCCACAGTTCTGCTCCAGTAACACACCTGTGTCAGAAGCCCTAAGGGCAGAGGAGCGAAAACTCACACCAGGCACTGTAGTGTGATCCTAAGAACAGCCCTTCTGTGAGAAGGAAATCCCGGAGGAGGCAGGGACCTACCTGATGATGGTGTGCATGCCCCGCACCTGCGGCGTGTTCTCCAGGACGCTCAGCGTCTTCGGCAGCGGCTGCCCTTGGTGGGCAGAGGCCAGAGCTGCCCTGTAACAGGGAAGCAGCGATCAGAGCTGCACAGCACACGCACACAGAGCCACCACGCTGGGCCCCCTCAGAGCGGGACACGGCCCCCCGGCCGAAGGAAGGCTCCGCCGGGAGAACCCACCGCACGGGCTGGACACCAGAAAGCCTTCCCGCCCTGCTCCCTAGGAAAGCCCCACGTCTGGTACCAGGTATGAGATCCCAAAGCAGTACCACCCCATAAAACCGGGGCAAAACCTCCCCTGGCCACAGATCCAGCTGTCAGCACCCGCTGCACACACAGTCCTCTGCCAGCACCCGGGGAGCAGGAGGAGCAGCTCCACATGGGCCAGACTTTGCTTCTGGGACAGGGCTGCCCGGGCTGCACCGAAGCGCGCAGGCTGTCCCGCTGAGGCTGACTACATGAAATCCCAGAGAACAGGGACTGTCCAGGGCACCTCTCCCATAGAAAGGAGCAGTCCAGGGCACCCCAACACTCAGGGCAGGAACCAGGCTCCAGAAAGGGACAGGAGCAGCGCAGCAACACAAGTCCAGCATAGCTGCTGTGGGATGGGCCATACAGGAGCCTGCAGCCACAGCCAGACAACCCCCAAGGAGCTGCACGCCTGGGAGTCACTTCAGCAGTCGAGGAGGAGCAGCTACGTGCGGGCATCTCCACAGAGCTTTGGGAGCAGGGAGAGAGAAGAGGCAGCCCTCCACCCCCAGCCCAGGAACCGGCCCCTCTGCGGCTAGCAGGGTCCCCACGTACCTGACGGTGATCTCGCGCTGGGTGGTAGAGCCGCGTCATCCAGCGTGGCAGAAGGGGAAAGGAAGGACACCCGGTCACTGCACTGCCCAGGCACAGCCACCCCTTCTGGGGCCGAACCGAGAGCAGGAAAACCACCGCTGGGCACAGCTGGGAGGCAGGGGCGGGCTGCCGGGACGCAGCCAGGGGCGAGCGAGGTGGGGATGGCTGAGATCACAAAAGGCTGGCTGGGACAGAAGGCGAACGAGGCCAAGCCAGACTGCAAGTGCCAGGCATCACTGCAAGGGCGGGTGATGTGTGCAGCCCCGTCTCCATTTCCCCAGCCCCCCCGTCTGCCCCGAGAGCTGCGCTCAGACCTTTCGTAAAGCCTATGCCTGCTCCAGGAGCAGAGGGCTGTGAGCAGCCTCAACCTCCCCTCTGTGTCCAGAGTCCCCCTCCTCCTCCCCCGCGCTAGCCACAATCCATCGGCCCACACCTCACCTTCTCCAGCTGGCTGTGCACGTGCTGCACAATGAGGTCCAGGGCCACAAAGTTTTCCCCACCTGACAGGGGAGCGGAGAAGCTGGGTCAGGCACCCGCTGACCCACACCCACCCCAGGGCGCCCGCTCCCGGCGAGCTCAGCGTAGCCTCACCCCTGGGCACCACGATGTCGGCAACCTGCACGGTGGGTTCGATGTACTGCTCGAAGGCTGGCTTCACAAACTTGTTGTACTGCTTGATGACGCCCACGATGTCACGCCCTCGCTCCATGATGTCACGCTGCAGCCGCCGCACCAGCCGGATGTCAGAGTCCGTGTCCACAAACACTTTCATGTCCAGGAGCTGGAAAACTGGGAGGGGTGAGCACCCCCCATGCAGCCCCCCAGCATGGGACCTGCCTCATTCCCCTCGCCCATGGCCCAGCCAGGTCTGACCCCCCAGCGATGGCACCCAGTGCTGCCCCCCAAAAGCCTCTGACACGGGGGTGCTCTGCCAGCAAGCGGTGGGCGACCTCTCCCTCCGCAGCCCCTCAGCCATCACTCGGCCCCAGCAGCATCCGTCCCACCCGTGGCACACCACCCACGCCACGCACCGGGACGGGCCACCAGCCGCATCAGGCAGCGATACCTTCAGCAACTCCTTGTTGGCAAAAGCCAGTATCCCTTCAAACACGATGACGTTGGCCCCATACACCGTTTTCTGTGGGCAGAGAAAAGCCGTGCTCGCCCTCCCCCCATCACACACACCGCAGCAACGCCAACACTCGGCACAGACAGCACCTCAAACCCTGACCCACGCCAGGCTCTCGCCTCACGTGGCCAGGATGCCCCATAACCACCCTACATCACCAAACCTTTAAGGGCCCTTTTTCTCACCCCTGCACTCGATACCCCAACCCTATACAGACCCAGCACCCCGAGCCTCGCTCCAAAACCCCAAACCTCTGCCCAGCGCCTTCCCCCTTGTCCTCACTGCACGCCTCCATGCTCCACAGCCTCTCCCCGAACTCTGCGCTGCCCCTCTCTCCACATCCATCCCCACGTCTCCATGTCCCCGCCCTGCCTCTATGCCCCTAGCCCCACCACAACGACCCTCCTGCACCCGACGGCCCCCAGCCCCTCCTTCCCTTTACCCTTCCAGACCCCACACGCCCTTTCCCCGCCCCATGGGTATCCCCCCTCTTCCCAGGGGGCTCTCCCCACGGCACCCTGCCCTCCTGGGGCCCAGCCCGGCTCCCGTCCGGCACCCACCCACTCGCGGCGGCGGCTGTGCGTGGTGAAGTCGTAGACCGGCACCTTCACGCTCTTGCCCTTCTTGAGCTTGCGGAGGACACTGACGAGCAGCTCAAAGTCGAAGGCGTCGGGGTGGTCGAAGTTGTAGTCGCTGCGGGCTGCCAGCGCCTGCTGCCCCTCGTCCAGCACCTACGGGCACCGGCACCGCTCAGCACCGCACCGGCCCCCCAGGACCCACAGGCACCGTCCCCAGCCCCCCATCCTCACCTTGTAGAAAGAGTCCATGGAGAGCAGCACGACCCAGGGCACGTCCAGCGCCTCGATGATCCTCGTGGCCACTGTCGTCTTGCCCGAGGCGCTGCCGCCGCACAGGCCTGCGGGCAGGGACACCCCTCGGTCCCCCGGCTGCAGCTCCAGCCCAGCCCCAGCCCCGGTCCCGGTCCTACTGCTCCCCCAGCCCCATCATTTCACTGGTCCCAGCCCCGGTCCCGGTCCTACTGCTCCCCCAGCCCCATCATTTCACCGGTCCCAGCCCCAGCCCCACTGCTCCCCTGGCCCCATCATTTCACCGGTCCCAGCCCCAGCCCCACCGCTCCCTCAGCCCCATCGTTTCCCTGGTCCTGTTCCTTCCCCGGCCCCATCATTTCCCTGGTCACCACAGTTCCCCGGTCCTGGCGCTCCCCCGGGCCCCATCGTTTCCCCGGTCCCAGCCCCGGGCCCCATCATTTCCCCGGTCCCACTGCTTCCCCGGCTCCGGTCCCACCGCTCCCCTGGCCCCATCATTTCCCCGGTCCCATCGTTTCCCCGGTCCCAGCCCCGGTCCCAGCCCCGGTCCCCCCGCTCCCCTGACCCCACCGTTTCCCCGGTCCCAGCCCCGGTCCCCCCGCTCCCCCGGCCCCATCATTTCCCCGGTCCCGCCACCGCCCCGGTCCCCGGTCCCCGCTCCGGCCGCCATCCCGGCTCCATCCCGGCCCCGTCCCGCCGCTCACCGATGACGAAGGCCTCGTCCACGGGCGCGCCGGTCTCGCTGTACCAGGGCGGCCGCCCGGCCGTGTAGATGGTTCGCTTGCTGGTGCGCAGCAGCGGCGGCTCCGGTTTGCACTGGCTGGCGGTCCGCCGCCGCGGGGACGGCGCCAGCGGCAGCCGGCTGAGCAGCGAGCCCAGCGGGCCGGGCCCGGGGCCGGGGCCGGGGCCGGGGCCGGGGCCGGGGCCGCGCTCCGGGCCCGCCGCGCCCCACGCCCCGCGCCGCTCCTCCGCGCCCGCCGCCGCCATCTCCCGGTGGGGCCGGTGCGGACGGGCCGCGGGGGCTGCCGGGACGGGCCGCGGCCGCGCAGGGCTCCCGGCGGCCCCCGCGCCCCGCCCCGCCCCGCTCGCGCACCGGGGACCCGTGGGGCGCCCACCGGGAGAGGGGGCGGGGCGCGACCCCCGCCCGAGACCCCCACCCGGGACCCCCCCCCGGGACCCCCCACCCGGGACCCCCCGCCCGGGATCGTTCCCCAGCCCCGCCGCTCCCACAGCCCCGTGCCCAAAGCCCACGGGACCGGTGGAGGCCGGGCCCTGCCGGGGTCCCCCTGTCCGGCCCCCCACTCCAGCCGGGCCTCCCGGAGCCACTGCCCAGGGCCGCGACCAGAGTCTGCCGGGACGGGCACCCCACCGCCGGGACGGGCACCCCACCGCCGGGACGGGGACCCCACCGCCGGGACGGGGACCCCACCGCCGGGACGGGCACCCCACCGCCGCGCCGGGCAGCCTGGGCCCCCTCACTCCCACACTGTGGACCCTCCCGGGGTCCAGCGGGTGCCCGTGGCCTCTGGTCCTGGCACTGGGCACCACTGGAAGAGCCTGGCTCCGTCCCCTTGGCTCCCTCCCGGCAGGTATTTACAGACATGGATTCAACCCCCCGGAGCCTCCTCTGCTCCAGCCCCAGCTCCCCCCGCCTCTCCCCACAGCAGAGATGCTCCAGTCCTTCGGTGGCTGGTGGCCCCTCACCGGACTCTCTCCAGTATGTCCAGGTCCCTTTGCACTGGGGAGAACTGGACGCAGCACTCCCAGGGCGGCCTCACCAGCGCTGAGCAGAGGGGCAGGACTATCACCTTCCTCAACTGGCAACGCTTCGCCTAATGCAGCCCGGGACACCATTTGCCACCTTTGCAGCAAGGGCATGTTGCTGGTTCATGGTCAAGTCGGTGTCCACCGGGACCCCTGGGACCTTTTCTGCTGAGCTGCTCCCCAGCTGGGGGGCCCCCAGCGCCTCCCGGTGCGATGGGGTTGTTCTTCCCCGGGGGCAGAACTCTGCACTTCCCCTTGCTGAATTTCAGGAGGTTCCTGCCAGCCCATTTCTCCAGCCTGTCCAGATCCCTCAGCACCTCAGAGGAGCACGACCCTCCGGTGCACAGCTGCTCCTCCCAGCTTGGCATCATCTGCAAACCTGCTGAGGGAACCCTCTGCCTCATCGTCCCTATCGTTAATGAAGCTGTTAAACGGGGCCGGGCCGGTACTGACCCCCAGGCACACTGGCCGTTACTGGCTTCCAGCTGGACTTTGTGCCACTGATCACCTCACTCTCTGGGCCCGGCCATGCAGCCAGTTTTCCACGCACCCCCCTGCTCACCCAGCCCACATTCCCACAGCTTCTCCAGGAGGGACACGATACCAAAGGCCTTGCTGGAGCCTGGGTGGACACTGTCCCCAGCACTGCCCGCATCTACCAGCCCCGTCATCCCATGGCAGAGGGCGACCGGGCTGGCCAGGCACGACCCCCCCGTGCTGAAGCATCGCTGACTTCTCCTGATGACTTTCGTGTCCTTCGCATGCTTAGAACCAGTTCCCAGCATCAGCTGTCCCCACCACCCTCCCAGGGGCAGAGGTGAAGCTGACCCCCCGCACACAAACAGCCCCCCCCCGCCATGACAGCAGCCCCCCCTCACACGAAGGGGTCCAAGCAGCACCCCCATACCCGAGCAGCCCCCCCCATCACCCCCGGCAGAGCCGCTGCTGCCACCCGGTGCCTTCCCCGGGCGCAGAGCCCTGCAGAGTCTCGGCGGGACCCGCGGGTTATCCCCCCCGCCCCCGGCCCCTGGTCTCTCAGTGGGCCCCCCCTTCCCCGGGACCGTGTCCCCCCCCCCGCTCCCCGGTGCCCGGAGGGGCCGGGCGGGACCCCTGTGCCGCGGGGGGAGGCCGCGCTGCCGGTGCTCCTCCGGGGCAGAGCCGGGGACACCGGGGGGCACCGGCACCTACCGACCCCTCCCCGGGCCCGGCCCCCCCGCCCCCCCCGCCGGGGGCGTGGCCCGGTGAGGGGGGCGTGGCCCGACCCCCGGCTGCGCGCTCCCTCCGGCCGCCGGTGCGGGGTGGGCGGGGCTGAGGGCGGAGTGGGCGGGGCCGCGACGGGGTGGGCGGGGCCGCGGCCGTCCCGGCGGCGGGTGCCCGCGGTGCCGCTCTCCCCCGCCATGGAGCCCCCGACCGGCACCGGCACCGAGAGCGCCCGCCTGGTCAGCCCGCGGGCCGGCCGCGCCGACGGCAGCCTGCGCCTCAAGAGGTACCGCCGGCACCCCGGCACACAGCGCCCCGGCACCCCCGGCACCCCCATCCCCGGCACCCCAGCGCCCTTGGCACCCCGGCACTGACACCCCCATCCCCGGCACCCCCAGCGCCCTTGGCACCCCGGCACCCCCGGCACTGACACCCCCATCCCCGGCACCCCCAGCGCCCTTGGCACCCCGGCACCCCCGGCACTGACACCCCCATCCCCGGCACCCCCAGCGCCCTTGGCACCCCGGCACCCCCGGCACGGGTACCCCCATCACCAGCACCCCACCTCCCCCGGCACCCCTTGCTAGCACCACCTCCTAGTGCCCCCGGCAACCCCCGGCACCGCCACCTCCATCATCCTCTGCCTCTGCAGCCCCCGATCCCCCCGCACCCGCACTGCCGGCTCCCCCCCACCGTCCCCGGCATCTCCATCACCCCCCCAGCAGCACCAGCTCCCACCTCCCGGGACCCGCAAGCACGTCCAGCACTGCCCAGCTCCCACCCCCCGACACCGGCATCTCCCCGGTACGTCCATAACCGCCCCCCCTCCCAGCCCCCGGCACGGACACCAGCACCTCCGCACACACCTAGCCAGCCTTGACCGTCCGTGCACCGGCACCTCCTCCCAGCCCACGCCGGCACCCTCACCCCCCGACACCGGCACCGTCCCCTCCCTGGTACCGGCACCTCCATTCGCGCGGAATCAGCACCCCCGCCCGTGCGCCAGCCCCGCTCCCCCCTCGGGTGCTCGTCCGGCCGCTACCGGCGCCCAAACGTCACCCATCCGCACCGGTACCGTCCATCCGTCACCTCCCCGCACCGCCACGCCGCCCACGCCCCACGCCCCCGCACCGGCGCCCCGGCCCCAGACGCGACACCTCGGTCCCACTGGCACCGGTCCCTCCGCCGCAGGCCCCCGCTCCGGCACCGCCACCGGCCCCCGCATCCCCCACCCCGGGCCGGATCGTCCCCCGAGCATCTCCCAGGCCCCGCCGGGAGCTCCGCGCCTCCTCCCGCGGCCCCGTGGCTGCCGGTCCCGCGGGGGGCTCTCACCCACCGCGGTCCCAATGCCCCCGTACCTGCCGGTGCCCCGGCCGCAGCCCCCGGGGCAGCAGCGGGACCCGCCAACGGGCCGGGGCGGGGGCGCAGCCCGTGGGGGCTGCAGTCGACGGCTTCATTACCAGCGGGTCCGGGGGCGGTGGGGGTCGGGCAGGCACACGACACAGCACCCCGGGACCGGCCCGGGCACCCCCGCCAGTGTCGCAGGGCCGGGCCGGCAGCGGGTCGGGCCGGGGGGGGGTGATGCCGTGTACCCGGTGCTCTGCAGGGTGCTAGACTGTGGCTACCGGGAGCCCCGGGGGTGGCGGGCGGGGGCACCGGGAGCCGGTGCAGCTGGCAGTGACCCCCGCCCCCAGTCTGTTTGCAGGCACCCAGGACCCCCTGGCACCTCCAGCCCCCCCGGCTCCTCGCTGCCACTGCAGCCCCCTCACGCCCAGCCCTGGCCCGGGGAGGCTCCAGGCCCGCCGGCAGCTGAGCGTCGCCTGCACCGTCTGCTGCGTCTTCATGGTCGGGGAGGTGATAGGTAACGGCGGGCTGGGGCTGGGGCTGGGGGCTGGGGGGGCACAAGGTGCCAGCTACTGTGCCCGCAGGCGGGTACCTGGCACACAGCCTGGCCATCATGACGGACGCAGCTCACCTACTGACGGATGTGGGCAGCATGTCCGTCAGCCTCTTCTCCCTCTGGGTCTCCACCCGCCCACCCACCAAGACCATGAGTTTCGGCTGGCACCGCTCAGGTGAGCCGGAGGCGGGGGGCACGGCTCTGTGGGAGCCCCGCAGCCGGGGTGGGTGCCGATGGCTACCGTCCGGCAGAGACACTGGGTGCGCTGGCCTCTGTCCTCTCCATCTGGGTCGTGACCGGAGCCCTCGTCTACCTGGCGGCCGCCCGCATCGTCAGCAATGACTACGAGATCGAGGCGCGAGCCATGCTGGCCACATCCGCCAGCGCCGTCGGTGTCAACCTGGTGTACGTCCCACACAGGGCTGTGTGCGCCCGCGTCCCCCCTGCAGACCCCCAGCCTGAGCCCTGGCCTCCCCTCCCACACCCCTGCCCCACACATGCCTGTGGTACCTCAAGACCACCAGCCCTGACCCACTGGTCGCCTTCTGTCCCTGCATGCCAGCCTCATTTCCCCGAGCGCTGCCTCCCCCTATTCCCTGTCCCCTGTACACTCCCAACTCCTGTATGAATGTTCTCTGGCCCCACATCCCCCAGCCCCCCTTCAGCTCTGCCCCATGCCCAGCCTGAGCCCTGGTACATGCCCCAGCCCTGAATCGCTGCCCTGGCCCCACATGTGCCCTGCAGTGCTGTGTCTGTCCCATCCCCGCTGTGCCTCTAGCCCTGCCCCACACCGGGACTCTGCCCCACACCTCTCCACCCTCCCGGGGCCTGGCCGTGCCCCCTTTGCCTGCGTGCAGGTCCAGGCAGGGCCAGCGAGACCCTGCACCCTGCCCAGCACAGCGCTGAGCCAGCCCTGCTCTCCCCAGCATGGCCTACATCCTGCACCAGTCCCCCGCGGGCCACGGCCACGGCGCAGGGGGCTACGAGCAGCTGGAGAGCACTGGGGGCTGCCTGCCCAGCCATGCCCCCCTGCCTGGCAGCACCAGCGTCCGCGCGGCCTTCGTCCACGTGGTGGGTGACCTGCTGCAGAGCATCGGTGTCCTCGTGGCTGCCACAATCATCTACTTCAAGGTGCCTGGGCTGGACTCCCCTCCGCGGGACCAACTCCTGAAGCCCCATGCGGGGTGCCATCGGGCACTGGGGCCCTGGTACCCCCACACCGGGGTGCCCAGCTCGGATCTGCCCCGCCCCCAGCCTCACACAGACCCTGCTCTCTGCAGCCTCAGTGCAAGATCGCAGACCCCATCAGCACCCTCTTCTTCTCAGTCTTTGTCCTCGGCTCCACCTTCACCATCCTCAGGGATGTCTTCAGAGTCCTCATGGAAGGTGAGTGGTGGAGCAGAGGGTGGGGGGGGACTGTGGGTGCAGGGGCCCCTCGGGGCTGCAGCAGCCACAGCCCCTTCCCCCCATGGCAGCTCACCCCTTCGCAACCTCTGCTCCCCACCCAGGCACAACCCAGCGCTCCCCTCCGTCCTTCCCTTGCCCCTCTGAGCCCCCCCAGCCCACCCCCTCCACCCCAGGCCAACAGCCCCATGGTGAGAGGCTGCCTCACCCCGGAGCCCCTGTCCCCAGCCCAGTCACAGCCTGGGGAAGCCCCCAGCCCTGTCTGCCCCCACCACGAGTGGATTGGCCCCCTCCCCGTGACCAGGCGTTGCTTGCAGGGACGCCCCGGGGCCTCGAGTTCGACGGGGTGAAGGAGGTGCTGCTGGGCGTGAGCGGGGTGAAGGGTGCCCACGACCTGCACCTCTGGGCCCTGACGCTGAGCCACCACGCCGTGTCGGTGCACGTGGCTGTCGGTAAGTGCCCCCACGCATGGCCCGGCCCCCGTGGGTGCCCGCCGGCGCTCAGCCGCGCTGCCTTGCCATCCCCAGAGGCCAGCGCCGACCCCGAGACGGTGCTGCGGGAAGCCACCACCCAGCTGCAGACCAAATTCGGCTTTGCGTCCTGCACGGTGCAGGTGGAACGGTACCGGGAGGAGATGGCAGCCTGCCGGCACTGCCAGGACCCCCGTGCCTGAGACCCTCACCCGCGGCGGAGCAGGGGGGGGCAGCGCAGGAGCGGGGCTGGTGCTTGGGCTCCTGTCCCTGCGCTGCACCCACCCCGCTGCTGCAGAGCCCCCGGGGGTGGGACAGCATCTCATCCCCGAGGATGGGGACCGGTCCCAAATGGGGAGGGGGATCTCGCCCCACCGCACGGCCCCCACGGATCCCTGTTGTCCCCTGCAGCAGAGGGGACGGGAGGGAGCTGCTGCAGGGCCCATCCCCGGGGGAGGGTGGTGGAGCCCGGACCCGGCCTTAGCCCTAAACAGCTCCCACGCCCCACGACCCCAGGGGCTGTCCCACCGCCCCCAGAGCTGTGGCCTTGCAGCTCGGGGGGATGGGGGGCTGCTGCTGCACCCCCAGCCCGGGGCTCAGCCCTGGCCTCGCTCTGGCCGGAGCCCCCCCTCCATTCCCACCCTTGTGAGCCCGTGTCCGTTGCGCCTGTGGAGTGTCTGTCTGTCTGTCTGTCCGTCTCTCTGTGCAAGGAGCCCAGCGGGCGGTGGCAGAGCCCGCAGCTGCCAATAAACGTGTTGGAGAGCAGCAGCGGCGGCGCAGGCAGCCGGGGCCGGGGGGGGAACAGGACCGGGGAGGGGGCACAGCCTCATGCCAGCACCACAAGCAGCCTTTACAAAACAAACCACATTTACTGCACAGCTGAACACAAGCTCAATGTGAGCAACTTCAGAGCTCCCGGCACCCCTGCCAGCCCCATCCACCCTGCCCAGGGGGCGAGGCTGGACACCCGCCCCCCGGCCCCGCTCCCTGCACCTGCACAGGGGTCAGCCAGCAATGGGGCCCAGGAGGCGAGAGCACGGCCCCACACGGGTGGGGGCCCACGGGTGCTTCCCTGGCATCAACCCACAAGCTCAACCTGGGGACACACAACGCTCCCACCGCCCACCCCACCCCCCCCACCAGCTCAGACCAAACAGCGCAGAAGGATCCTTCTGGGCCCAGAGCACGAGGACAAAGTGTCCCGAGCGTCCCGGGGGACGGCCAGGAGCAGCCGTCCCTCCCCTGAGGCAGGGGCCCAGAGGGTAAGAAGCACCAAGAAGGGGTACACAGCCCCCCCCAGCTCCCGCCCGGGGCACACGCGTGTGGCAGCAGCACGAGGGGTGCACCGCGCTACTCGGCCGGCAGCCCGGCGCGACCAGGGCTGCCGGGCTCGTCGCTGTAGAGGGAGGAGAAGCGGGCACGGCGCTCCGGGAGCAGCTGGCGGCCCACGCCGGCGGCCAGCCCTGCCAGGCAGTGCGCCCGCACGATGCCCGCCTGCCCGCCCGACACCAGCCACCCGTGCGAGTCCAGGTTGGGGCTGAAGCGCACCTGCGGGAGGAAAAAGGGGGGCCATGGGATGGAGGGGGACCCCGGCACCTGGGAACTGCGCGGGTAGCGGTGGGGCAGATCCTGCCTGCGCCCGCCTCCCGGGGCCGGGGGGCTCGGCGCAGCCCCCCTCACCTTGTGCAGGGACTCCAGCTGCAGGCGGTCGAGGCTCAGCTCTGCCTTCACCTCCTGAGTGTGCATCCTGCGCATGGGCTCCCGGCTGGGGAAGTTCTTGAAGCTGCGCTGCGAAGCGGCGGCACGGCCGTGGGCTGCTCTGCACCCGCAGCGGCCCTGGAGGCAACCGCGACCGCAGCCGGGGTGCTGCTCGGCCAGGGGACACGGGGCGCCCTCGGGGTCACCCACCAAACAGCCACGGCAAAGGGCAGCCGCCCAGGGAGGGCCTGGGCAGGGCAGCTGGAGTGGGGCAAACCCCTCCTTGCCCCCCCATCAGCTCTGGCCCCCAGACTCGCTTCCCCTCTGCAGGGGCCCCCGGGCACAGCCTGGCTCTGGTGCCCCATGCCAACACCTCCAAAAACACCAGGGAGCGGGGGTCCAGGGGGGCTGACCCCCTCCCCAGGCTCTTTCCCAGGGCTGGGCAATCCAGATGCCCGCAGCCATGTTCCCCCCCCCCCCCCAGGCAACGAGGGGCTCCCTTGCCTGGGGAGGCCTGGCAGCCCATCCCCGTGCTCTCGGGGCTGCCAGCCTGGGCTCCGCCGGGGGTGCAGGTCTGCCACGAAGTCTGAGTGGTGTCTCCTCGCCCTGCTGCTCCCACTGCCCAGCCACAACCCCACAGCCCCCCGCACCCACTCCTGGTCAGGACCACCCAGCCCCGCGCCTGCTCCCTGCCTTCCCCTACCAGGTCCGTGTCCCGGAATCGGATGTAGCTCTTGGTCACCATCTCGCTGTAGAGCCTGGTCTTCGGCAGCGCCTGCTCACCGCCCTCTGACCCATCGGGGCTGCAGGGCAGCAGATCGGCTTTGTAGACCGGCTGTGGGTGAGATGGGGCTCAGGGCAGGGCAGGGGGGTGCTCCGGGGGCTCCTCTGCAGACAGGGACCACCGGGGACGGAGCAGGGCTGGGGGCTCCAGGAGCTCTGCCCTGCTCCGCAGCACGGCGGGTCGGGGGCAGCGGAGAGGAAGGAGATGCCGCCGTAAGGGCAGGGAACAAACAGGGCCAGGCCTGCCCCACACATGAGCCCAACCCCACAGGTCCCATCCCCAGGGCCGAGGCTGCCGCTGCCCTTTGCCACCACGCAGCCCCTGCCCGGGCGGGAAGGGCACAGCACACACAGGCATGATGTGCACTTACACACGTGTGTGGGGCGGCAGAGGCCCCGAGGCTGGCTCAGGACACACCTCCAGTGACCCACGAACACGACTCCCACCCTGCCCAGCCCCACACGCGCCGCGCACGGGCGGTGCTGAGCACAACGGCCTCTTACAAATCTGCGGTCCGAGGACCGCTTGACGTTGAGGGGGTTGACAGCCAGGTCGGGCAGCACCGCAGCCACCAGCTCGCCGGTGATGTCTCCTGCTGCCACCGTGTTCAGCCAGTCCGAGCCAGATATGCTCTGCAGGAACAGACGGCGCTAGGGCCCAGGGTCCCACCGGGCCCCCCCACACCCCCAGCCGGGCTGCAGCACCACAAACACCAACCCCCGGGCATCGCCCTCTGCCCCCCGGGAAGCGCAGACGGCTTGGACACAAGCGGGGACACCAGCTCACGCAGGTGCCGCCACGGTCCCTCATCCGAGAGGGTGACCCCAAGAATCAGGGCCCCACATGTCCAGGTGGCACCACCCCCACCCGTGAGCTGCGGGACCCAGCCGGTGCTGGGTTTTGGGCCGGTGCCCACCCCTCTGATGTGGCCCCCAGGACAGAACTGCCCTGCGCCAGCCTCTTACCCACACGGTCCCCTTGCGAGGGGCCACAAAATAAGCCTTGAAGCCCAAGTACCCCGCATCGATGTAGTGGATCCCGCAGAGACCGTAACTGCAACGGAGAGGGAACAGATTAGGACAGAGCTCTGCGCTGACAGCCCGAGACTGCGAGGGCCAGGCAGCAGCCCACCTCCCCAGAGACCCCCGGACCCAGGCAGATGGAGGGGGGCTGCCCTCGCTCTAGGAGCATGTCACAGCATCACGAGGGGGCTCAGGGCAGCTCCCGGGGGCTGAGAACACACCCAGACCCCAGAACCCTTCTGCTGACTTGTGACAACCTGGGGCCAGGCAGGAGCCCCGCCGCCCGGCGCGCGGGCCCCTTCCTTCCCCTTGCCCACCTTGACTGCGCCCCGGGATGGCACGGCCGAGGGGATGCCGACACTGCGCGGCCGTGGCGTGACGCAGCACGGGCCGAGGCAGAGCCGGGCGCTCCCAGGGGGTGAGAGACCCTTGGGGAGTAAGACCAGACCCCAGGAGCAGGGCTGGCCCCCAGGCACAGGGTGGGCACCGCAATGGCCCCGGCACTCACGAGGCGTAGCAGTTGTCCTGGGCCACGGTGACCCCGTTGTAGGGCAGCAGCCAGGCCACCTCAGTGCTGAGGAACCGCTTGATGCTGTTGATGGGCTCATAGAGCCGCCGCAGGTCCCAGAACTTGATCTTACGGTCGCTCCCTGCCGTGACCAGGAAGTTGCTGAGAACCAGGAGAAAGGCAGCACTGAGACCCCCGTGCAGAGCCGTGCCCCGTCCCTGCTGCAGGGCCGAGGCGGCCCTGGTCCCGCAGCGCAGCGCTGCTCCCCCAGGCAGTGGCTCAACTCCCCCTCACCCCAGCAAGCCCAACCCAAACTCTTCGGTGCCTCCGAGGGTCAAGTGCCACCAGCACCGAGCCCGACGAAGCCCACCCCAGCAACGGAGCCTCCTCCTCCGCCCGCACCAGCACCAGCTCCCCTGCCCTCACCCGTCGGCCTTGCACCACTCGATGCTCCGGACCACGTGGTCGTGGGCTAGAAAGCACTGGAAGGGGTAGAGCTTGAGGGAGCCATCGGGCTGGCGCACGCACTGCAGCAGGGACTTGGTGAGCAGGTTCCAGATGGCCACGGTGCCTGTGGGACGAGACCTGCGCCCCGTGAGGACCTGCCCTGCGACCGCGCCAGCGCTGCAGGGAGGGGCTGGGGGACAGGCAGGGGCTGCGGGAGCTGCGAGGCACAGCGGCTGAGCCTGGGTCAGAGCCGGGGCTGGGGCTTAGAGCAGGACAGGATGGCACAGCAGGTCCTGGCAGCGCAGCACAGAGCTGCGGATCGCCTGAAGCCACACACAAAACCGCATCCAGGCAAGTCAGGCAGGTGTGGATTAAGCCACAGACACATCCCGGAGCCGACGGGTATGTGAGGGTGCCTACGGCCAGCCCCCCGATCAGCCTTCCCCCTGTCCCAGGCACGGGCAGAGAGGGTCCTGCACAGTGCCTGCCCCTTGCTGCTGCTTACCTCACGTTGCCCCCACACCTCGTCCTCAGGCTCCCCCGTCCCCTGCCCCAGGCCGAGGCTGAAGGAGCACAAAGCTCCGCACGTATCTGCTGCAGGGCAAGGGCTGCTCCCCAAAGGCTCTGCCGCGGGACGCAGCCCCCTCTTGTGCAGGAGGGGGACTCACCGTCATAAAAACCAGCTGCGAGGTGATGGTGGGGCTTGGATGGCATCCAGGAGAGGCTAAAGCACTGGCCGCACTCGGATGCGTTCCCTGCCTGGATAGAGCCCACCTGGAGCGTGGCGACACACTGCACCTGCAGGCCAAAGGACAGACATCAGTCACAGCCCCACGCTGGTGCCGCCCGCCTCCCGAGAGCTGGGGACACCCAGGTGTGGGAGCAACGCTCTGCTCCGCCACCCCAAACACCCAGAGCTCTGCAGGCGACCCGACTGCCGCCCCAGCTCTCCCACCTGCGCCAGCCAGGAGGCTCGCGGGGTGCCAGCCCCGATGGGGGACCGCAGTGGTAGAGGACACTGACCTTGCAGATAATGTACTTGTGGAAGGGCCCATCTAGAAGAGAGGAGAGGACAGTCAGGACAGGCACCAGCTTTTCTAGAAGCTCCCTGCAGCAGGAGCTGCTCAGCAGCCTGAAGCCTGGCTCACTGCTCCCTGCGGCCCCGGCCAGGGCTCCCAGTCCTTGTCCTGCCACCCATCTGGACCAGCGTCCCCACTGCAGCCAACAAACGGCAGGCGAGCACACTCAGCAGCAGCGAACAGCCCACGGAGCAGCAAAGCCAAGAGCAGTCAGCGTCAGGACCTCCAGCAGCCAGACCTGCCTGCACCAGAGGAAGCAGCACCCCAAAATGGGCAGCAGGCAAAGATGGGGCAGGGCTGACGTTCCCCCCACCCCACCCCACCCCACCGTGGGCGGCTGCCTGCCTTGGTGGAAGATGTCTTCACGAAACTCAAGGGTGACGCACAGGGGCCAGACCAGCCGGTGACCACCCCGGGGCAGCCGGGGCCGGGGGCCGGAGCAGCCCGGGCAGCCGCTCCTGGGGAGGGCAGGCTGTGCAGAGACCCGTGCACCCAACCGGCGCAGGATGAGGCGCCCGCGGGACCCCCTGCGCATCAGCTTTGTCCACTGGAGAATCTCCCCCGCCAACAACCCACGACACGAGCGCTGCGGGACCCCCGCCTCACGGGCCAGAAGGGCCCCCCCGCCCCCCAGCACGGGGCTGTCCTCAGGCACAGCGAGCACCACATGAGCACGTCTGCACCCCGAAGCGTGACAGCCGCGGGCAGAGGCACGGAGGAGCCACGCACCTCCTCCAGCACCTCCATGACAGCCGGGGCTCGGCGTGGACAGCAGCTCCGGGCTCTGTCGGGCAGAAGCACGGGGTGCGGGTACCCCGAGCCCCAGGGAAATCCAGCACAGCCACGCCAAGCGGGGAGCTCCCGGCAGGGCCCCGGCGCGCCGCAGTCTGGCACCGATCCTGCAGCTGCAAACCAGCACCCGCAGCCCGTCCGCGAGGCGCAAGGACAGGACGTGCAGCCGCAGCCAGGCTGACGCGACGTGACAGGACCCGGCCGGCCCGCAGGAGCTTTGCAGGCTGGGGAAGGATCCGCGCCTGCCGCAAGCTCCTCACGTGGGGGCTGCGGCAGCCAGAGCAAACCACCCGGAGCCGGCGCTGCGAGAGGGGGGCCGGGAAAGGCAGCGCTGGCAGCGGCACGACGTGCCGATGGGGGTCGGCAGCCCGGCGCGGGGAGCCCATTTCCCATTGTCAGCCGCAGGCGTGCGGGCTGTCGGCCGCGGCTGAGCGATCGCAATCGGCACGCGCAGGCCATCAATCTCGCCCGGCGCCCAGCAGATGAGGCTATTACAGGCATCATTAGGCCGAGGCAGCCGAGCGCTCAGAACCCCAGATCCCTGCTTGGACAAACAGCTCAGGCCGGGACGGAACGAGCGGCTCTGCCGCAACAGAACACGCTCCCAGCAGCGAGCAGGGAGGTGGGAAGAGCCTCGGGAACACACTGCCGCCGCTACGCCTCAGCCTGCGACCCCACTCCAGTGACAGCAACGCTGCCCAGAGCACCCTCCCAGGGCACCCAGCTTCAGGTAGGGCTGCCCAGGAGCCATGCCCCGGCTGGGCTGCCACAGCAGCCCCCAGAGACCCAACCTGCCCCTGGGTCACCAGCACTTTGATGCGCTCTGACATCAAAAAGCAGCCTCGCTGCCTCGCCGCTCTGCCAGAAACCAGGCTGGGGACAGAAGCAGCCGCTGGTCCCAAGCTGGGAGCCGTGCTGGGGGGTTCGCTGCCCGGTATCACGCAGCCCCCTCCCGGGGAGGGCAGCGCTGCTCTGGGGACCCACGGCCGTGCCCCAGCCCAGCCCCCTCGGCACGGCACCTCCTGGGTGTGCGGGCAGAGGGGCCCCAGCCCCGGGGGCTCGCACGTCGCCCACCCCGGCACGGTGGGACGAGGGCCAGGACGCCCCTGCCCGGCGGCGCGGCTCTTCCTACCTTTTACCTGGGTTCTCTTGGAGCGCTGCAGGGCCCCGGGGTGCGGGAGGGAGTACAGCACCACTTTGCCATCCGAGAAGGCCACAGCCAGCAGGCCCAGCCGGCTCATCTGCGGGTGCTGCGGAACGACAGGCGGGCTCAGCCCCGAGTCACCACCCGAGGGGCCCCACTGCCACTGTCCCCCACCCGGGGAGGCGAGGCTTTAGCAAGGGCTTAAGAACCCTGGGGGGAAACCAAAGGCAGCCCCTCCAGCAGCACACCCACCTTCCTGGCAGTGGTGGGCGGCTCCCAGGCACCGCTGGGGCAGAACTTCATGTCCCAGATGCAGCCGTGGTCGGCAGCGATGGCGTAGGCCAGTCCGGCTTTGTCGGCACAGCTGTAGGCACGGGTAGAGCCGTGAAGAACACGGGAGCTGGCGCCCAGCAGCTCCAGTACACGCCAGCAGCAAAGCTGGCTGCCAGCACCAAAGCTGGCTGCCAGCACAGCCCCCACCCCCTGGGGGTTCGGGCTGTGGCTGGTGGCTCTGGGAGAAGACAAACCTCACCACCCGCTCCAGCCACGGAGAAACAAGAGGTAAGGGCCCTGCCGCATGCCTGGGAGCCGCGCAGCCCCCGGCCCCTTCCCCAGGCCAAGTCACTCACCCCTGCTCCTGCTGCAGCGTGCCCAGGCCCCAGAGCTGCAGGAGAGCGGGGCCCCTGTGGAGCCCGGCCACGCTGTGCGTCTCCTCCATGCTCCCGTGGCAGTAAACGGCCACGTACTGAGAGGCCGCCGAGCCCTCCGGGGACGGGCACCACTCCATCGCCCACACGGGGCCCCCCACGAAGAAGGACACGTCCAGGCGCTCCTCGTGGGGCTGCAGGGAGCTGAACCTGCCGGCGGGGAGCGGGGTAAGGGCAGGGGACAAGAGCACGGGGTGGCACGGAGCCGGGGGGGGGCAGCGGGACCCCAGGGCATGATGTAGACACCAGCCACTCATCCCACGGCTGCCCGACCCTCAGACCCACCCGGCCCGCAGCCCTTGGGGTTGGGGTTACTGCCTGTCCCAGCAGACAGCCACCGCCCGGCAGTGCCCCGGGGCAGGCACCCATCCCAGACCTGTTCACCCTGTACAAGACACCGTCATCTTCGATGCCCTCCCGCTGGATGGAGAAGAGGGGAGACTTCTCTTCCACTGGCAGGTACGGGGCAGCTTCGCTGGGGAGGCAGAAGAAGGTGAGATGAGATCTCGCCACCCCTGAGGCTCACCCAGTCACCCCCCCAGCACAGCACCATGCCCCAGCACCCACCCCAGCCTCCGCATAGCCTGGCGTGCCCGCTACCGGCCACCCTGAGGGCTACTAAGACTCCACAGCCAAATCCATGAGACCCCCAAAGCCCACGACAAGAAAGCCCCATCCTTTCTGCTGGGGCCTGATCCTGCCAGAGGGATGGGGGAGTACAGCACCCACCGTGCTCTTGTTCTCCTCCAGCCCCGATGGCTGCGGCTGTCCAGTCTCCCCCTCCCAGCTCACCCCAAACACCGCTGGCACCTGCCCCGCCACGCTGCCCGTGCCAGCGCCCCTCCCACGGTACCTTTCGGAGAGACACGTCCACTTGTGCGCCAAAGGGATCCAGTCGGGAAACTCCCACTGCGAGTACTTCTGATCCCGCCTGCAGCGGACACATCAGACAGCGACAGCCCCGCTTCCCAGCCCGGGCAGCCCCCCCCCACGGGCTCTCAGCCCCTGCCCCTCCCCACGCCCCCGCTCGGCCCAGCCGTGGCCCCAAGCGGAACAACCACACTCCTGGTGCCACACACTCCCTTACCCGCACGCCCCGAGCCCCCCACTCACAGGCTGCAGGTGAGGCTGGAGCACTTCTCCACTGGGGCCATGATGGAGTTGTGGAAGCCGTTGGGTGCGAGGCCTCGGCACTGGGGCTTGGATCTCTGGGCACAAGAGCAGACTCAGAGCAGGACCTGGCCCGGGCTGCCTCTGCCTGCCCACGTGTTCCCGCGAGCCCCTGGGGGGTCCCGCCTGTCCTAAACGGCGCCGATGCAGCCCACAGGCACAGAGCTCTCCCCCAGCCACGGAAGCAGCAGTCGCCAACGCTGCGTCACACGGGGCTAAACGCACAAGGTCCCATTTTGGAGACTTCCACAAACCACATGACAGGCTCCGGGATCGCGCCTTTGCCTCCCACCAGCTTCGGCAGGAGTCCAAGACCCCCACAGCCCCACCCAGGAGTATGTGTCACCCTGTCCCATCCGCCCGCGCTCAGAGCTGCCTCTGGCCGCAGTTAAGCCCAAAGAGCTCTTGCCTGGATGGCACTGTGCCATCCCTGACCGAGTCCTGCTTCTAGGCTGTCCTGCCCCCAACAGCCAGGGGTGGGGACACCACATGTGAGCGCAGACACTTTGTCTTGTTCATGCCAGGCCAAAAGTAAGAAACAGCCAAGGCAGAGACCCTGCCCTTACCCCTGCAGATGACACCTTCCCGCCGTGCCCTCGGAGCGCCTCCAACTCTGGCTCTGACACCTCACTGAGCGGCGCGTCACTCCCCTCCTCCTCCTCCGCCTGCAGCAACACCTCCTTCGAGGGCACAAAGTCAGCATCTCGTGCAGGATCATCACTGTCTGTTTCCTCCTCCTTCCTCCTCCGGCTCCGATGCTTCTTCTGGATACGCCCAAGTTGTGGCTCTGGCTCCTGGGCACCCTCGGTGGGAGCCGGAGGCTGGTACACGGACGTCAGCTCCTCTGCCAGCTCCTGCAGGTACAGCAAAGCCCTGGGACACCAAAAGCATTGCCCGGAGGTGAGCAGGGGGTCTGCAGAAGGACCAGCCAGCTCTCCCTCCAGGACCAGGCGAACGCACCCCTCCAGCTCGCGGTCTGGGCGGGCAGTTTGCTCGCCGGGCACTCGGGCAGCCAGTATCGCCTGCCACGGCAGTGCCAGCCTCCCCGGCAGCAGGCAGAGCCGCGCGTGGCCCTTCGCCAGCCAGAAAGTGGGAAAGCCAGAGATCTTCCTGCGAGCACCCTCCGCAAAGGGAGATCCCGCAGCAGGCACCCCGCTGCGGGCGCTGCGCCCCCACTCTGCGGGGTGGGGGGGGTGGGGGCTGGGGCACTGCGACCCTGACAGCTCTGCCCCTGCGGATCCAGCGCTCGCGCAGGCACTCGGAGAGCAGGGGCACTGCCTGAGCTGCTTGCAGAGGCCCCAGAGCACACAGGCTCCCCTTTAAGCAGCACACGGCTCGCACAGCTTGTCCCGCTCCCCCCCCAGACAAGCCTCCTCCTGGCTTTGTCGGGTACCAAGGAAATTTCTTCCTTCCCCACTGCAGACAGCCCCCGGCCTGCTGTGTGCGAGCTCAGCGGCAGCTCCTGCTGCTCCCCCCGCCCCCCAATCCTGGACCCAAACACGCTCCCCTCAAGCGGGAAAACATCGTTCTGCGGGGCAACCACTCTGCCCCACCACCGTGGGGCGAAATGCTCCAGAAAAGACACGGAGGCACCCCCCAGGCGAGGCAGAGCTCTCGAGGAAGCACTCCCGGAGCGGTGTCTGCCTGTCCTTCCAAATTCCCTGGCGCCCCCGCCCCCGGGGTCGCGTCCCCCACCCCTCCGCTGCCCCGACGCACACTTTGGCTGCCCGCCTCTTGGGGCGCCCGCCGCGGGGGGGCTCCAGCCCTTCCCCCGCGTCGCTGCTCCCCAGCATCTTCTGCACGCAGATGGGCTCCGGGGCCGGGCACTCCAGGTCCTGGGAGAGCTTCAGCAGCAGCATCTCTGCCTTGGACTTCCGCCCGCGCTTCCCGGGCGCTTTCGGCGGCGGCACCGACCCGTTCTCCGAGGGCCTGGAGGGCTCCCCGCGCCCCTCGGGCTCCGCAGGGGCTGGGCCATTGGGGTCCCTACAGCTGCTTTTTGGGTTTTGGTGCCGGGCGGTTTTTTTCTGGCGCTTGGCAGCTCCTGCTCCCTCCCCAGCGGGGGCTAAAGCATCCGGATCTCCAAGCGGCGGCGGTTCCCCTGCCCAAAAACAGCCAGCGTTAGCACGGAAACACAGCGGGGCTCCCCCGGCACCCCGGGGCGCGCACACCCGCCGGGCACCGGCCCCAGACCGCGCAGCCGCAGCCGCACCGGGGCGCGGCGGGGACGCACGGACACGGGTGGGACGGCGCTGCCGGGGCGCAGCGAGCCTGAAAAACCGGAGACACGGAGCCGCGACGGGAGCGCCGGCGGCGCCCCCGGCCCCGGGCAGCGGCCCCCGCCCGGCGCCGTCCCGGTGCCTTCCGCAGCGGCCCCGTCAGCGCCCGCCCCCGGTACGTACGGAGCGCCCGGGGCTCGCCCTCCCGCGCCCGGCTGCGGCTGCGGCTGCGGCTGCGCCCGGCGGGCGCCGATCCCCGTCCCGAGCGGCCCCGGCGGCTCCGCTCCCGGCAGCGCGGCCCGCGGGCGGAGCTGGACGCCATCCGGGCGGGTCCCCGCGGGCTCCCGGAGCCGCCACCGCCGCGCCGGTGCGGGCCGCGCCGCCAGCACGGGACCGGAACCGGAACCGGAACGGGAAGCGCAGCGCTGGCGCGGGGGGATGGCGTCACGGCGGGAACGTCACGAACGAAGCGCTGCACCGCCCCCCCCCCCCCCCCGCCGCCGCCACGTGACAGGACCGGGTCACTCCGCGCGTGAACGTGTCCGCTCGGGGCGGAGCCCAGCGAGCGGGAGCGGGGCGGGCAAAGCGAGGGGGGGGACACGGCGAGGGGAGGCGTGAGATGGTGAACAAGAATCGCAATGCGGGGACGGGGGAACGGGAGTGGCGAGGCCACAGCCCGGGGGACACGGACACACCAGAAAAGTCTTATTCACTGTTTTTGGTACAAAAAAGACAGGGGAGAGCGCGAACGCAGTCCCCCACTACCACAAATTATGCAGTCGAGTTTCCCGCATTTGGGGAAATCGCAGGGGTCAGCACACCCGGAGTGCAGGAGATGAGCCTCGCCCTGGGAAAACCACCTGCCTGATCATGGTGTCTCCCCTGCCAGGTAAGTATGACTCTGCTCCCCGCGCCCCGGGGACCACCCCGCCGCACCCACACACAACACGCGGCACCCCGGCCCTCTCACCCGCCTCCCCCGACGCGGCACCCGCCCGCACCCACGCGCCTCCCGCCGCCCACGCGTGGCCCCGCGCAGCTCCCGCGCGGACCGTCAGCGGCACCGTCTTGGGGCAGCACGGCCTCCCGTCACCCCTCGCTCTCCCTAATCTGCATGGCCCCGCCCCACACCCGCGAATCCCCGCCCCATCGCCCCCGCCCGGCTCCGTGGCCCCGCCCCTCCCTCCAGGCCCCGCCCCCCGGCACCGGGAGCGCCCGGGGCTCGGGCGGCCGGAGCCGGGCGGCACCGGGCTGCAGCCGCAGCGCCGGCGGAGCGCGGGGCCGGGGGGGGCCGGGGGGTCCCGGGGGGTCCCGGGGACACGAGCTCGGCTCCGCTGCGGGACGAACCCGCGGAGGGCAAACCGGGAGCCCCGTCCCTCAGGCGGGGAGGGGCGGCGGGCGGCTCCCCAGCAGCCGGCGGGACCCTGCGGGGGTACCGGCTCGCACTGGGCCCCGGGACCGGCCCGTGCGACGGCGCCTGCAGCGCGGGTGGGCAGGAGCGTCTGCAGAGCAGTAACGCCCGGCACCCGGAGTGCGGGGCGCCGGGTGCCGGCGGCAGCGCGGCCGGAGCGGAGCGGGCACCCGCGGGGCCGCCGGCCCACGAGCGCCCGGTGCCGCGGGAGCGCCCGTGCACCCGCCGTTGACACCTGTGAGCTGAGGGTACGAGAGAGAGGTATGTCTGGAACAGTGCGGAGCCGCGGACGAACAACACGCCGAGCCGGGTTCAGTGTGGGCGATAGAGCATCAATCAATGTGTGTTTATTGGCCCAGGGTACATATATTTATACAGACAATGATAATTATGATGCCTACTAGTCACTAGCTGATTGGCTTAAGCTCCAAAGGTCGTATTCGCACAGTCCACCTACTTGCAGTTAGCTTACAGCACAAGCCTCTCACAACACTAAGTTTCTCATGCCACTATTTCTGATTCCTCTTGACTTGTTTTCAATACACGACAGTACCTTAACACAATGTTTCTCAGACCACCGTTACCATAACACTGGGTTTCTCAGACCACTATTCCTAATTCCCCTTAACCTGTTCTCGACACACCACGGTACACAGGGCTGAAGCGTCCTTGACATTCCTCATGTATCAGCAGCTGCGAGCAGCTGCAGGCAAACCCTAGTGAGGCTCAGCATCAGCAGCCAGAGCAGGCTCTGATCATACAATTGCTCGGTGGGCTCAGGACCCTTGTCTCTGAGCCATTCTCCAACAATTCCCCCTTTTTCTTTTTGTATGAGCAGAGCCTGCGCTAACGTTCGTTCAAAGATTTTCTTAATACATGACAAGGCACAACTCAGGCACGCAGGCTTACAATCTACTGGCTAAAGGCACAGGACCCTCGTCTCTGAGCCATTCTCCAACAGAACAGCACCGCTGAGGTCAGTCTAAGCTGTGTTCCCCACCGTGCTGCAGAACAAACACTGATCTTTGGAGAAGTCCTCAGAATGCCTGCAGGATGAGCAACTCCTAAACAATCTGACCTGAGAGGGGTCGGCCTCGTCGCCTGGCAGGCGCAAAGAAACATCCAGATAACGAAGCTGCGAATTAGCGACAAAAGCAGAGCAGGCCCAGGCCGGCCTTGGAGGACAAGATCTGCGTGAGCACAGGACTGAGGGTCAGCCGGTGGACGCGGCGAAGACGACTACGGGCCCTCGTCTAAAGACCCCCAATGACCACCCGAAGCCTCCAACAGACATTAACAAGCAAGAGACATTAACGTATGCTAATGAGTTCCTGGAAGAGTTACGAATATGATAACAATACGATAAAAACATGATTAATGAGTACGATTAAGGTAGCAGGAACGCTTGTTGATTTTGTTTTCACACACACACACACGAGGAGCAGCTCTCCCCTGCGTGCCCGGCGCTGTGGTAAAAATGCCTGCTTTCTGAAACTCCAAAATCGAGTCTCAGAGAGTGAATGTGTTACCACTCTCCGGTGACACCATGGGGAAGCCAAGGGGACGGTTAAGCCCGGCACTTGCGGCAGCCCGGACCCACCAGCTCCAGTGACCTGTGTCCGTAGCCCCACGGCCCTCGCCCCCCCCGGCACACGCAAACCCACCCCCGGCCCCTCTCCCAGTGTCGGGGCGCTGCTGGTCGGGCCGGTAAACCTCGCCCCGCCCCGCGGAGGCACCGGGACTGTCGCTCGGGGCTTTATCCCTGGTGCCTTCGGAGCCGAAAACGTCCCAGCTCGTGTTTCCCACGCGTGCCCGGCAGTCAGCCGTAACCGCCTACACGAAGTGGCGAACGCCCCCCGCTCGCCACCCCCCCGGCCACCCCCCTGCCCGCAGCACCGGCTGCAGCAGGAACTGCCGCCACGGCCCTGCCCCGGGAGGGCGGTGGGTGCTGTGGGTGACATCGCGCCGGCACCCCGGCCGCGGGGACACGGGCCCGGTATCTGCAGGACAGGGCGGCTGTGGGGGCCGCACGTGGGCCGGGGCCGTGCGGGACAGCAGCGTGAGCTGCGCACGGACAGAGCGAGGGCTCGGAACAGGAATGGCCGCGGATAAAGGGAATTCCAGGTGAGCATCTGGGGCCACGGTCTGGAGACAAACCTCCCGCGGGGCGGGGATGGCGCCCAGATGTGGGAGGACGGATGGGGAAACCGCTCAGGACGGCCGTGCAGTCCAGTTGGGCTCATTGAGGCCGGTGGTTCCTCTGCTTTATAGTGGAGCGGGACGATACGTGCAGGACAGGAGCGGGACGATACGTGCAGGGCTGGGGGGGGCTGGCCGGTACGAGCGGGGCTGGGGGGGGGCTGGCCGGTACGAGCGGGGCTGGGGGGGGCCGGCCGGTACGAGCGGGGCTGGGGGGGGGCTGGCCGGTACGAGCGGGGCTGGGGGGGGGCTGGCCGGTACGACCGGGGCTGGGGGGGGCTGGCCGGTACGAGCGGGGCTGGGGGGGACCGGCCGGTACGTGCAGGGCTGGGGGGGGGGCCGGCCGGTACGAGCGGGGCTGGGGGGGGCCGGCCGGTACGAGCGGGGCTGGGGGCGAGATGTGGAGCACAGTAGGGCCGGGGGAGAGGAGACGGGCAGAGGCGGAGGGGAGAGGGTGCAGGCGGAGGGGCTGGGGCTGGCAGGGACGGGGCAGAGCGGCACAAGGGGCCGGGGGGCAGCAGGTGCCCGTGGCCCCGAGCCCCGGGGCACCGGCGGCCCCTCTGCCGCAGCTCCCGCCGGCCGGAGGCGGCCGGTGCAGCCCCGGCCCCCTCGGGCTCCGCAGCCAGGCGGGAGGGGCCGGCGCGGCGCGGGGGCCGCAGCGGAGCCCGGTCAGCGGCGGGGGAGCGCTCGGGGCCGGCGGGGCGCCGGCTGGAGCCCCGCCTGGGCGGCCACGCGTCGCGCCCGCGGCCGGGTGTCCCCCGCGGCCGTGGGCGCGCTGCCCTCGGCCCGGCCCCGCCCCCGGGAGAGTCGCGGCCACGGCCCGAACCGGGGTCCCGCCACCGCCATCCCCGGCGGGAGGGGCGGGGCCACGGAGCCGGGCCGGAGCCGAGGGGGCGGGGATTCGCGGGTGTGGGGCGGGTCCATGCAGATTAGGGAGAGCGAGGGGTGACGGGAGGCCGTGCGGCCCCAAGGCGGTGCCGCTGACGGTCCGCGCGGGAGCTGCGCGGGGCCACGCGTGGGCGGCGGGAGGCGCGTGGGTGCGGGCGGGTGCCGCGTCGGGGGAGGCGGGTGAGAGGGCCGGGGTGCCGCGTGTTGTGTGTGGGTGCGGCGGGGTGGTCCCCGGGGCGCGGGGAGCAGAGTCATACTTACCTGGCAGGGGAGACACCATGATCAGGCAGGTGGTTTTCCCAGGGCGAGGCTCATCCCCTGCACTCCGGGTGTGCTGACCCCTGCGATTTCCCCAAATGCGGGAAACTCGACTGCATCATTTGTGGTAGTGGGGGACTGCGTTCGCGCTCTCCCCTGGTGTCCGTGGTGGAACAGCAGACGTCACAGCTCCCGCGAGCGCGGTGCCCACGCTCCGTCCCGCCGCGCATGGGAAGCGGCCGCACATCAGCCTCGGGGGGCGGGTCCCGGCTCCCCCGCAAATCCCGCGGGGGCGGCGGCGGCCCCGCGCTGCTTCTCGCGGCTGCCGAGAGCCCGTGGCCGAAGCCCGGCTCGCCCCACGGCGAACACGAGCTCCGGCCCGGCCGCGCGTGGGCGGCAACGGGAGACGAGACTCGGGCTCCACGCGAGCTCCGGGTGTCGACCCCGCGGGCGGCTCGAGGCGGCGGAAGCGGCGCCGGTCCCGCTCGGGTTCGGGCCGCGACGCGTCCGGCTCCTCCCGGCGCGACACCCCCGGCCGGCGGGGACAGCGGAGCCCGAGCCGCGGGGGCACGGCCGCAGCTCCGCCCGCTGCCCCCGGGGGCCCCACTCCCGCGGGGGACGTGGCGGCCGCGGGCAGTGGGCCCGCACA